TTTAATTTAATCTAATCTAATAACTTTAATCTCAGCCAATCCGATTTACTCACGAACAAATAAAACACTGAAAAAGCGAAACAACATTTTTAAGTTATCAAAGTGACTCATATATCATGTTTAACCCGAGTAGTGAAAGACCGCGGGGGTTTGAAAACAATGTGTCGATCGGCTCAGATATTTGAAGTTTACACAGCTACATTCTCACCTGAAAACATGTTAAAAGTTGTTTGGTTTTTTTGCGACCCAGAAAGAGAAATAAGAGTAATATTAAAACTAAGTAGCTGCCGCCATTGTTGGAAACTGGAATTAGCTCGGCCGCGCTCCGTGAGAGACGTCTGTCTCACCCTAGCAGCACCTGTCCCTCTTCAGTTCGTCTCAACATACGCTCCTGATATTCTGTGATATGATTTACTCTGAGGTGTTTGACAAGGTTAGTGATGTTGCCACAACCATACATGCCAACCCTCCCGATCTTTCCGGGAGAATCCCGGAGCCACCATTCTCCCGAATTTCCACCCTTTAGTGCTGCAGGCAGGCAGGTGTTCAAATAGCGCACAACTTCAGTTTTTTTATTTCTATATGATGAACTCTGCATTATTAAGTGATAAGAACAAGTAATCCGATGTCGTGTAATCATTATGACGCTATAATTTGAGATACACTAAATAAAATATGTTTTTGCATAAAGTATCGGTATCGGATCAGTATCATCGATACCACCCTGAATATTACTTGGGATCGGATCGGAAAGGAAATCAGTGGTATCGCACATCACTAACTGCCATACCCGTTATGTGTCTGTGAGGGAGAGGAGGGAGAAAAAGGAGAGTCGAACAGTACGAGTTGTCACCGAGCAGAAACAGGAGATGAAAGCATGTAAATATAATAATAACCACTGCAGCCAAAGTAAGTTTAAGTAAGCTATTAAGACTCGACTGTACACCGTGTTCGTGTTTTCCTCTGAAACAATAAGTTCTGTTGGAGCAGCCTTTCAACACCTCTCTCTGTCTCTCACTAGCAAAGTTGACCCAGACAACAAAGTAAAGCTAGTTTTTGGCTACAAGCCCGACAGGAACCCAACGTATTAGCCAGAGGTCCCTTTACTACGGTTTGGGGCGCGGACCTGTTTTATATACGCACGGAATAGTTTTTTATATGAGATCGCTGCAAAAAGTGCAGCCTTACCTTAAGATATATTAAGATTTAAAATTCTAGTTGGTATTGGTATGGCGAGTATCCTTCAGTAATAGTAATAAATCACACAGCAACATTCATGTGGTTGTAAAAAGCTTGATAACATATTAAGTAATCCAAAGTATTCCGTTATGTTTGGGAGCATGTATTCTGTAATCTGTAATGGAATACATTTTAAAAGTGACCTTCCCAACACTGCAACTAGATTACATTTTATCACAAAAAACAGAATCTCTTCGACAGTGAATGCAACAATACTGGGACGGGAAATCAATAATACTTACTATTAAGTATTACTACTACTTTTACCATTATTTATATTCTGCTGAAAATAAACCTAATCACCTCTATCTGCCAGGGACTTACACTGTGCTCTAAACCAAATGCCTAATGGCAAGGCACCAGGCCTGGATGGATTCCCTGCTGAATTTCTGAAACATTTCTGGTCCGTGTTATCTCCACTATTCTTCATAACTGGCACAGAAATAAAAACAAAAAAACAGTCTAATCCCTCCCCATATGAAAACGGCAGCAATAAAATAGTTACTAAAAACAGAAAACGACGCTACTTTTCATCTAACTACCAGCCTTTGTCACTAATTAATACCGACATTAAAGTTATTCCTAAAGCACTTTCATCTAGATTAGAAACAGTTCTGCCCTCAATAAATCATAATGACCACACAGGATTCATCAAAGGCTCACATGTCAAAAAATGTTTTAGTACGACTTTGCTAAGCTACGGAGCTGCACCGCTTGATGGATTGTCGGAGCATTACGGCTACCGAGGAGCCTCGCGTAGTAATACGCACTGTGCTTCAACGTAATATTACCGTATTATGTGTGTATAAGCACCATAAATGGCACCTGAAGCGGATTTCAAACTCCAGGCTGTCAGTCACGCAGTAGAAGTTGGGAACAGAGCTGTACAACAGGCAGGGAAAAAAATCCATGCTCCTTTTGAAGGAAAGTTTAAAATGAAGAAACAAACGTCCGGAGGCAATTATTACAGTTAAACTAAACTTAAAATACCTTTAGTTATTCCGAACTTCTCGTAACTCGCACATACTTTCATATCCTTACAGCACATACAGATAATGTTGAGAACAAAATAAAAGCAAAGTATTTAAAATAGTAAAAGCGGAAGGAAAAGGAGCCCAAAAACTGAAACCGAAATACAAGAGGACCCGTCTGAACCGATAACAGCCGCCTGCACGTGACACACAAATAAACAGATCGTCTGTAAACACACAGCACATGAACTTCACTTAGTGGGGACATTTGTCAGCTTTTTTTTTCTCTGAATGACCAAATCAGAGGTCAAAGGTTAGTGGCTCACTCGTTTTCCTCTCCCTGCTCTCCTATTGACTGACAGACTCACTTTATGAAGGACCACGGGGTCGATGCCACTTCACAGACTGCAAACATCAGACCAGGTACTGTACTCTGACTCTGTCTTACTCTCATAACAGGGATGTTTTCCTCTTCTTCAGAGCTGAACTGTTAAATTTTACCTGTGGTTAGAGGTCGGTATGGTTAACAGAAAATCTGCAGGGGGCTGAATGGATTAAGGCTGTTTGTTAATAAGTTTTTAAAGTGTTCATTATCGTTCCTATTGTTGTTTTAGAGTTTAAACAGATGCGCTGATTGGTTGGTTTATTTGAGAATTCAGAAGGTAGAGAAGAGGAAGTGGAGACAATAAAAGCAAAAACAAGTCACAGGCTTTATTTTGCTAATTAGGTGCCAAACACATGTATTATTATTGTTCTTTTGCCTGTAACGTGATGATTTGTTATATCTCCCCGATGTTTCTGTGTGACACAGATAAGGAGCTGAATGTCTAAAGTGACTAAAACCTTTGCACAGTACTGAACTTTCACCAGCAGAGCCACCTCTGACTTTATGAGTCCAACAATAAACTGCAGTCATGGCAGTACTGGTCCTTTGAGTCACAGAGGGTGTATAAAAGATTTACAGCTGGCTAAAAAATAATGATAATATCAAAAATAACAAAGCTAGCTGGCTATTAATTTTTTTCTGCCTTTGCAAAAGAAGTGAGTCTGTGAAAGATTTTTTGCTGGGGGAACTAGATGCTCATCCTGATGTTGTTTCTGCTGAGTCCATTTATAGCTGCTGCACACACACACACACACACACACACACACACAGAGAGAGAGAGAGAGAGAAACTTGCCATCGTGCTGCTGCGCTGTTAATCTGCATTGCACCAGAAGCTGGCTGTGTGGTAAGCATTTCGATTACAAAGTGCTGCAGAGGAAGCAGAGGTGATGTATGAAACAGCTTTATGTAGGACAGGTGGCTTTCCACCAGCTTCTTCAGAAAGATGATTCAGAGGAACAGGGCGTGTGACTGGCTGTTTTACACAATTAGTGCTGAGTTAATTAATTGTGCAAGTTTTAACTTTTATTCCTGAAAAGAATTGTTTTTTGATGCTTTTTTACTTTATATACTATTTTTTATTACTTAATTGTCAATTAATTACATAAAATGTGAACTTTTTAATCTTTTAGGAAAGTCAGTAACAGAAACTCTCCATGTTGATATATTTGTCTTTATAAAATGAGAAAGATGATGTGGCAGCTCAAACAGATTGATTCCTGTTTTAATGCCTTAACTCAAACTGTGTTGCCTTCTCAGTACTGCTAAGAGGTTAATCTACTTTGTTTGTGTTTCAGTTTTTTTGGCCCTGTCTTTTAAAATCCAGAGAAAAAGGAAAAACAAGTACACAGGAAAGAACTATTAATAAAACCAGATCCTGGTCACTGAATGACTGAAAATTTTTAGGTCTCAACAGACTTGTAATGTTTTTACTTCTAGCAGACATGATAACAATCCCAGATCTGATCAGGAAGAAGAGGGATGGAGGACAGTTAAGTGATGACGAGATCAAAGCCTTCATCCAGGCCGTTAAAGAGAAAACCATTCAGGACTCTCAGACAGGTACAAACCATCTGACATGCATTCACATTTCCTCCTTTGCATCTTTAACGTCTCCCACTCTTTGTATTTAAGGGGCCATGCTGATGGCTATTTGGCTGAATGGGATGGTCTCCGCCGAGATTAAGGCCCTGACCCGAGAGATGATGTCATCGGGAGAAGTGATGGAATGGCCCGATGAGTGGAAAAATTTCATGGTGGACAAACACTCGACTGGCGGGGTGGGAGATAAAGTCAGTCTGGTGTTAGCGCCAGCGCTAGCTGCCTGCGGCTGTAAGGTATAGACTTTAACGATGAAATCTGATTGGTTAAAACGTTAAAGTGAACCCATTCTGTTCATGCCCAGCTGGACTGCGCTAGATTTACATGATTAATATTATTTTAGACTGGGACACAGTGCAGCCCCCTGGTTCTGTTTAAGCTCCTCCCCTTTTAAACAAACTTCTTGTGATTTGTTACCCCACATTAGTAGAAGGTGATTTACTTGGGTGGGTGTGTCTTCCTTTTCTCAAAATGTGAGATTACCATATTAGGAATATTAATTCAGTCCATGTTCACAGGTTCCTATGATCAGTGGGCGGGGCTTGGCTCATACAGGAGGAACTCTTGATAAACTGGAATCAATTCCAGGATTCAAGGTGGAGCAATCAAGAGAGCAGGTGAAGCAATCTGTTCTGGCTCACATATATTTACATATAGTTTTAAAAATTAATAGTTTTAACTTTTAATAAATGTCAGAAAAATGTTACTCTGGGGGGAAAACACACTGAAGCACTTTGCACCCCCCCCCCTGGTGGGCCATGAGGGTACTGCATGTGATTCACAAGAGCTCAATTACAGAATCAGAATCAGAATCAGAATGGGGTTTATTGCCAGATGTTGAGGTTTACAACATTAGGAAATTGCTGCGGTGCTTCAGTGCAAACAATAAGAATTAAAGTGCTATGTAGAAAGAAAGATATGTGCATGAGATATACACGAGATATATACATGAGAATAAGACTTATGAGTGCTACGTAGAAAGATATATACATGAGTGCAGGTGGTGATCGGTGCCAAACATGAAATGATGCAGTGACACAGTGTAGGGTCATGTGTTAGTGGCGGGGACAGTCATGTGGTTATTGTTCATGTGTCCAACAGCAGAGGGGAAGAAACTGTAATAAATATAATAAATATACAATAAATATACTTAAAAATCTTTTTTTTTATATCAAATATTTTGATTTTATGAGGTAAATAACCACTGGTCCACTGGAGTGGGCGGTTCAATTTGCCAACTACCAATGAGAGCCAAGGATACTGTTGGCTCACATAACAGAGTTGCCAGGCAACTAGACCCTGGAACAAGTGAATAACTTCCTGTGTCGCCTCTTTAGGCTCACGTGAGGATCATTGATTAAGTTATATTAAAAGTTTTAGGCTCTAAAGATTTTCAGATATTAAATTGGGCTCAAGGATGGCATAGACTGTATATAATAGATGGATATAGCCACAGTGACAAACACTAAATACTGCAACACTGCATGCTCATTGGCTCACCTCTTGTCAGTCACATGTCATTGGCGAATGAGGATGAGACTTTTTAAAGTGTCTTTTTTTTAATTATTCAAGAGTCGAATCTATTGACTGAGACCATTTACTCAAAAGGAATGAATTTCCTAATAGTCAAAATAAAGTGAGTAAGTCTCTTCTGTTTAACCACCAGAGGAGTCGCCCCCTGCTGGCTCTTAAAAAAAAACTAAACAGATGAAACTATTGACTGTTTGGGGAAACAAGGACACTGACATCTTTACTGAAATTTGTTAATTAATTCCAATGGTAGCTCTTGTGATAAGGGTACAAAAATAACAGAAAATTAAATATTTAAATTCATAAATAAATAAAACTACATACGGATAATAAAGAGTGATAAACACTCAAAGTCATTCTCTGATTCAGCTGTTCTTCTCCAGATCCTGGAGATCCTGGACTCAGTGGGCTGTTGCATTGTGGGTCAGACAGAGACTTTGGTTCCTGCAGATCGAGTCCTGTACGCTCTGCGGGACATCACCAGCACCGTGGACAGTTTACCTCTGGTTACTGGTAAAAACTGGGATTAGTGCTTCAAGAGCCAAAAACCCTTTTTTGTGTTGTTTTTTTTTTTTTTTAAGAAATTTAAGCTTTTCCACCCGTGTGTTGCGAGGGTCAGGGGACCCGACACACAGGCGGAAAGGATTTAGACTTTCTTTACTTGATATGTGAGCCCAATCAGCCTTCAGGGGAGGGTCATTTCTACCTGAACATAAGTTTGAGCGGTTATAGCAGCATGCCCATTTAAACTGATGAAAAGAACCAGATCTTTTGATACCCACATAAAACTGGTGTCCAGCACCTGGCTGGATTTTGCCGTGGATATCCGTGTTTTTTCTAGTCAGCTTACAGCCGTCTGTGCTGTTTCTGCAGGTTCGATCATCTCAAAGAAAGGAGCCGAGTCTCTGTTTGCTCTGGTGCTGGATGTCAAGTTTGGACGAGCTGCTATCTGCAAAGACTTGGAAAGTGCTACAGAACTAGCTCAGATGCTAGTGAGTACAACAACAATTCAAATATTTCACCATAAAAGAGGGAGAGAGGGATGTGAAACATCTGTGCAAGGAGCGATGCAGCAACACAACATTGAACCACAGGGGAGATAATATTGGGTTTATTACAGGTTATTTTAATCCAAACTCAGAGGTTTAATTTACAGCGCAGCGTCCAATGCCACAGCCCGTTAATGGCAAAGCTGACCTCAAATTTGGATTTCGCTGTTTATTTTTATTTCAGGTGGAAGCAGGAAACGGCCTGGGCATACATACAGCAGCTGTGCTCAGCGGCATGAACAGTACGATCGGTCGATGTGTGGGAAACAGCGTGGAGGTGATCGAATCTCTGGAGACGCTGAAGGGAAACGGACCCGATGACCTGATGGAGCTGGTCACGACTCAGGGTGATGACGTCGCTCAGCAGCTCTCGTCTGTCAGGGTTTGATCACCAAAGTAACAACGTGTCTTATCCGAGGCATTAAAAAGGTCCTGAACCCCAAAGGAACACCACTTTATTAGGAACACCTGTGGCCATTTTATTAGAGACACATACCCTGTGGTCAATTTATTAGGACCACCTGTGGCTCTCTAAATGCAGGAAGCATCTGAACCATTTCAAAGTGGCAACTGTTTTTATTAGCACACCCATGGCCACTTTATTAAGTACAGCTGCGGTCTAATAACGTTGCAGCATCTCTTTTGTGCCACCTGCCTGTTTACCTCTTCTAGCAGCAAGCCAGATAATTTGCAGTGTCGAGTTAATATTAAAGATTATGGATAAATAAAATGTATCTTATCTTCATTCTTCTCCTAGCTCTATATAGTTTTAAATATTGCACTCCATACAGATGCCCTCTGATTAAGAAAAAGAAAATTATTGTTTTACACGGTATGCAGCCCCTCAGTTTACCTCCCGTCTCTTTAAGGTCCTCCTCCCTAAAAGCCTACTTTGTTCTGACTGATCAGTTTCTGGCAGTCTACCGAGGAGCAGCACCCAATGCTTGTGAGCTGTACTGCTTGTATTTTTTGGACTTTGTACCCACAGGAACTACTACCACATAATTCTTTATCTTTTTTTAAAACTCTGAACTTGTTTAATATTGCAGATCCGCATTAACTTGCTAATGGGGATTTGCCGCGTTAATGAGGTTATGGTGTTAACCTTGTATTAACGAGATTAATGCTGACAGAACTAATCTAAACCTGTAACTTTCTTTATACATCCATCCATCTTCATCCGCTTTATCCGAAGCCGGGTCGCAGGGGCAGCAGCCTAAGCAAAGAGGCCCAGACCTCCCTCTCCCCAGCCACCTCCTCCAGCTTATCTGGGGGAACTCCAAGGCGTTCCCAGGCCAGCCGAGAGATATAATCACTCCAGCGTGTCCTGGGTCTGCCCCGGGGCCTCCTCCCGGTGGGGCATGCCTGGAACACCTCACCCAGGAGGCGCCCAGGGGGCATCCTTGTCAGATGCCCGAACCACCTCAACTGGCTCCTTTCCTTTATACATGAAAATTAAAATTAGAAAACGCAGAACAGCCTCTCCTTTGTGAATATCAGAGACATGACAAGAATCTCATTGTTACCTTTGTTATAGAGTCCTAGTGAATAGAACTGGTTATCTCCCTTAGATGAGATAACCAGTTCTATAATGATGATAATAATTTTTTTGCTATAGCTAATAAGAAAAATAGACCACTTGGGTTTAAAATTAAAAAACAAACAAACACTTAATTCTGACAGCTGTAAAAACATCATGGGAATCTAAACCCACTGCAGACAACACCTTTACAGACAACAACTTGCTTTAATTTTAGTCTATTTTTAAGTTTATTTAATTTTACACTGGTGTAAAAATTTCCCTTTAGGTACATTTAAAAAAGAAAGCATGATAAATATTTAAAATGTGTTTTGTCTGTGTTTGTAGGCGGCTTGTTGCTCGTAATGACTGGTCTAATGTCTGACCTATCAGAAGGCAGAAAGCAGATTTCCGAAGCTGTGGTTGGTGGAGCAGCGCTGTCAAAGTTCCAGGCCATGATGGAGGCTCAGGGCGTGAACAGCGACACAGCTCAGCTGTTGTGCTCCACCAACGCAGATTACTACAGCGTCCTGAGAAAAGCGAAGCATCAGCTGGAACTGAAGGCTCCTGCAGACGGTAAAGCCAATAAAATGCCTCCATTCACTGTTGATGCATTCAAAGACACACTCAGGAAATATGAACTACCTGCACTTACAAAGAAAATTTATCATGTTTAGGAATCTAAAGAAACTAACAAACACAGCTATCTTTGATGACACGGGAACTTTTATGCTGAAGCGCAGGTTGTTACACAGTTTGTGATTATAGTTACATTTGGGGTTTGTTTTAAGAGAATTTGTTACCAACAGAAATTAGACAAGAACTGCACTGAAAATCAGTGGCAGGAGGTCTGATGTAGAGATGAATCCAAATTTGAACATTTTGGTTTAAATAGTCAATATGAACAAAAAGAGGTACAACAGTGAGGGTCTGCAGCCATCAGTAAAACACGGTGGAGGCTCAGTCATGGTTTGGGGCATTTCAGCCAGTGGCGCTGTGGATGTTGTCAATACTGATGGAAATATGAACACAGAAAAGTACAGTCAGAGTTTGATCCAAAATGTAATCCCAACACATGCACTTGCACATGTGTACTTACATATGTGAGCCCTCGTATTTGATAACATGTATTTTTACTGTGTCTTCCCGCAGGTATCGTTTTGGAGATTGACGGTTTGGTTTTAGCTCAGGTGCTTCACAGATTGGGTGCGGGGCGATCAAAGGCTGGAGAGCCTGTCAATCACAGCGTGGGGGCGGTGCTACTGGTGTCTATAGGTCAGAGGGTCACAAAAGGTAAGAGGCTGTTGCTACTGCTGCTGATGGTGTGAGGGACATCCTCCTGATGGAGTCGTGTGTTTTCAGGCGACCCGTGGCTGCGGCTCCATTATGAGGATCTGGCGCTGACCCCAGACCAGAGGAATCACCTCGAGAGCGCCCTGACTGTGGGAGCAGACAAAAAAATACAAACACAACAGAAACACACTTTGGTGGAAAAGATACTACCTGAGAAATACCAGTGATTCTTGAGATAAGGGACAAAACATGTCCGCCAGATAAAACCCAATTTGAGGGTTAAAAATATGCATACAAGTGTTAACCCAACTGACTGAAAGAAAAGCCAAGGCAATGTTTATACAACAAAATTATGATTTTGCATTTTTTATACATATACATTTATTTTAAATGGTACAATACATTACCAGTACCTTAAAAATCCAATGTCCAGAAGCAGGTGTGATAATATTACAATACAGAAAAAAATTAAAAGTAATTCAAAATGTAAACATCATGGCTCTCGTCACTAAATATTTAAGTCAATATCTTATATAATATCAAAATATATGCAATTGAAAATGTATTTTTACATATTTTTTAAGTGATTAAAATCGTGTCCAGAGTTTTTGTCAACACCATCAGATTTTTTTTAAAAGTGCAAAAAAATCAGGAATTATTGTGGTTAGCTTACACTCTGAGGACCCCTTTACCACTTCCTGTTTGATACACATGCCATGAGGTCACTGCTGTGATAAGGTTTTTTTGTTTTTTTATTTCATTTATCGCATACCTTTCTGAGAAAACCCTGTGTCACAACCATAGTGTGTCAACACCAAAGTCGATGAAATGCAAGATTTAAGTATCTTTTTTATAAAAAGCTTAATTTAGGTAGATTGTAGAGGCCATAAGCAAATGATGCAAAACAAGATGGCTTCTGTCAGAAAAACATTTGTTATGAGAGAAAGTAGGGTGTCAACACCATCAGGATTTTTGCCTGACAGTGTGGACCCATTTCCAGTGGTGTTGACAAATGCCACAAAAGTGTCCCATTCACTAATTATATTAAGTTCTTTTAATTAATATTTCAGTCATATTACTTTCTGTGTATTTTACTGATATTTCTGCTTTACAGATGTGTTGAATATTATCGAATTTGCCTTATCTCGAATCTCATTGTTTATGTATACTATGTCTATGAAGCGCCTTGAGGCGACTCTTGTTGTGATTTGGCGCTATATAAATAAAATTGAATTGAATTGAAATTGAACTTTATTATTCCTGTAGGAAAATGCTTAGTTCTCTGCATTCAACCCATTCACTCAGTGATGCAGTGGGCAGCTACCAATCGAGGATAGCCGCTGTTTGTTGGATTTGAACGCCCAACCTTCCATCATGTGGCATCTACTGAGCTAGCTGTGCCCCAAGAGCTGATCTTTAAGTGATGATGGATGAATCCTGCTTCTGGGCCCAAACTACTCTATTTATTAAGGCTGTTGTGCTTTTAACATGTTTTATTGCTTTTTATCTTGTTCTATTTAATCTGAACAAGCCCCTAAAAACAGTCAGTGATCACTGTCAGCCTAACCATCAGAAACCCTTGCATTACCTTTTATCGAGTGGAAAAAATTTAGCGTCCATCCTCCAGCTTCACTGTGTTTATGTTATGCTCACATAGCTGTGTCACCAGCGATCACGTAGCACATCATTATATACCAGCTAGTCCAACTTCAGTAACCCTTCAGTAACCCTGCAAAAGTCACTGTTGTTTAGTTTTCTGGCTTCATTTATGTTGGAATGTAGGTGGAAACCAGCGAGCTAACTTCTAACTCTGTTAAATTTCATATATTCTGTTTTCATGGATGCCTGGATGTTACACCTGGAAGAGCAGCCACACTGATCATTTTATTAAAGATGAAGGAAAGAAAGAATTTAGACAGTTTGTAACTCTCAGTGATGCCGCAGAGTTCCTTTGACTTTGGGATCTGCAGCGGAGTTTGGACCTGGAAACAGCAAATGACATCAGACTTAAAGACTGGATAGCATCTCTATTGCTTAATACATAATTGTGTTGTGAATATTCATCCTTAATCTGTATAAATGCATAAGGTTCAGAAAAATTATAGTAATTACAAAATGGTACATTTCAGGCTAGAATTGCAAAGGGGAACCTGTCAGAGGAACAAAAGAGGAGGAACAGGGATGATCAAATAAGGAGAAAAAAAATTAACAGCCAGCCTGAGTTGAAGAAAGAGTTTCTCATAAAGGAAAGGGAAAGATCTAGAAAGAGAGTGAAAGAGGGAAAAATAAAGAACACCAGTGATCTGAAAGGAAGAGAAAAAAGGGAGAAGGGAAGGTTTTGGAAACAAGCAAACACACAACCAGAGTACTTTAGGTATCAAAGAGTAGTAGGCAGCTACTTGCTGGTGAACTATTAAGATGTAGAACTTGACATGTGCAAAAACAGAATTGTTATGATGTGTCTGATATTACATAAGTTGTTAAACTTTAATGGTCATTTTGAAAGAAATAATATTTTGTTTTCTATTAGTGTGTCACCGCCGTCAGCACCTTGTCAACTCCATAATATGGATTTTTTGTTTATTTTTGTCTTTTGAAGAACCGTATATTATCCTCCCTCATGATCTTCCAATAAAAATACATAATTTTCTCAATGTGTCATTTGCATGCTGCTAAATAGGATTGTTTCTTTTCTGAAAATATGTATGACTGTAACGGTTTTAAACATAGTATAATTCGTTTGAAAACATATGTGCTTAAACAATAGAACAATATGCTGCTAATAGTCAAAATAGCTGAAACAACTTAAAATATATATTTTTGCATTTGTTTGTGTCTGATGGTGTTGACAAAAACCTTGCACTCCTCCAGCAAAAATATAAATTATTAAAAAATATTACACCTGGGAGATTGTACCAAAACATGATGAGACAGCCAAAACTTTGTGTAACAATTATATGTAAATACTCATCCATCCATCCATTCACTTCCGCTTATCCTTTTCAGGGTCGCGGGGGGCGCTGGAGCCTATCCCAGCTGTCATAGGGGGAGAGGCGGGGTACACCCTGGACAGGTCGCCAGTCTGTCGCAAGGCTAACAGGGACAAACAACCGTTCGCACTCACATTCATTTGCACATTCACACCTAGTGACAATTTTGGTTATCCAATTAACCTATCCCCACAAGTAAATATGTTTTTGTTTTGTTTTTTCAAAACATATATTTTAGAAAATTAAAACCTGTTTTGTCCCTAATCTCAGGAATCACTGATACACATATTAATACTTTTAAGTTGTAGAGTTTAATCTGCCTGTAGGAACAATGTGAATACTGCTCCCATGACCTCACCGTCCGGCCGTCTCTGATGCTGCCGCTTCCTGCTGAGCTGATTAAAAGATCGGCTCCGTGCTCACGACTGCTCATCCTTAAACTTGTTACCTCAGTTTATCTGGTCTTCAGGTGATTTTATCCAGCTGCTTTTAACCATTAAGCTTTCCTCACCATGGCCCTCATGTAAAACCAGTATTTATCGATCTGTCACTTCATGGATATCAGTGTTACTCACACCTTTAGTGTTCGCGCCATCTTTTCACCATCTATTTCCTCCTCGCTCTCAGATGTGCAACTGATGTAAGGATTCATTTAGAATTGTCATTTTATTGCTGGCTCTGCAGATCTTTCGTTTAAATAAAAATCGCTTCTTGAAGAACTGAATCTTGGTTGTGGCATATTCTATCTCAGAAGCTATTCGATTTTTCTCCTTCTCGAATTTAAGAATCAAATTTCTTTCTCATAAAGTTTTCACTTTTTCCTCTGATCAATATCCTCTGACTAAAAATTATAATTTGTCAAACATTTTTGTTGAGTAAACAAACAAAACAAAAACGCTTTTCTTTTTCAGAACACAACAAATTAAACTTTATTAACAGTCTCACATTGACAAAAAGACTTAGGAGCATAAAAAAGTTCCTCTAACATTTTCATCATCTCACTTCTTTATTTATAAAAAGTACAAACAGAAAACAAGAGCCAGGAGTCAGAGACAGGAAGCAGGCGAGCAAGTTATCAGGATGCTCCGGCTGGTCCCGGATAATTAGCACACCCGCTCCTAAAAAAGACTTCCATAAACTTTATTCACACAACAGTCACGCTGTCATCAGGGGTCAAAGGTCAGTGGACGACAGAGTTGAGGGGCTCAGCTCTGATGTTTCCTAAATCCAGAGTGGAGTCCGTCTCCTCATCGATCTCCCCGATCACCGCACTGTAACCAAAACAAGAAAAAAAATGTAACCACGAAAACAAACGAGAGGATTACAAACAAAAACAAACAGGAAGAACAAATAAAAACAGAAAGGAAAACAATAAACAATGATAAACAAACTACATAACAGAACTGTTAACAACAATATTTTTTGTTCATTAAAGTAAAACAACATGTAACAAATCTACATCCATCATGTATGTATGGATCCCCACACATCATTTTCCTTATAGTTTAAGAATAAGAGTCTTTCTCTTGGTTTTCCTTCATAAAAATAATTTTAAACAAACAAAAACAAAACTCTGATAGGGGTATCCGGATCAAATGTGCAACCACAGCATTCATCCTTAAAGCATCACAGAAAAAAACTTTTAAATTTTTTTTCTTAACTCTTAATTATTAATTATCCTGTTTTGCAATAATAAATTATATCTTTATAAAATAATAAAATTGGTAAATCATGTTAATCTGATTCTGTAGATTAAAATTTACATTAAGGCCTCACTAATCTTTTGTCTTCAGTATTGATTCATCATCAACAAAGGTCAAACGTGACTTACACGTTGTCACCTCGGACAATGTAGAGTCCCAGCACCACCTGCTCGACCCCCTGACTGGAGCTGAACACTCTCTCGTGACTCTCATCCAGGATCAGGTTGATGGTCTGATCAAAGCCCTTCAGAGTGCCCTGAAAAACAAACAAACTGACATGAACACAACTTACAATAACAAAAAGTTAACATCCAAAATAATTCTGACTTCACTGAATCCCAAATATTGTGAGTGGTGGAGTTCTGATGAGGATGTGTTCAGACTCACCACAATCATCCTGCCGTCCGAGGTGACAATGGCCACGGTACCTGGATCAGCACGAGTTAAAGAAACAGCACCTTTATGGACCAAAACCTCTCTAATATTATTCAGAACCTACAAATAGAAACAATTATCACACCAAAATTGAAAGCTATCCCGCCCACCCATTCTGGCCACAAGAGGCGCTTGTAACCTTAGCTTCTGTCTGTTAATGAACTCCAGCTTTAAAACTGTAGGTTGTATGGTTCCAAAATTTAAAAGAAAAAAAAAAGAAAAAAAAAAGCTTAAGGTTTTACAATTTTTCAAAGTGGTCCAGATGTGATGAGTCCTGATGAATCAAGCTGTGAAATCATTTACAGAACTTCTCTGATCAGCGGGTCCAAATAATATAAACACAGCAATAAAATCACGAGATTTTCCTTCTTGTGAATGTGAAATCTACATTTAAGAAGTCTGAACATGTTTTAACTCAGCTCTGAGCAACCCGTTTCTCACAGACATCTCTGAACTGCCGCTAATTAACAAAACAAGTAAGTATGCAGCTAAGCTAACTAGCATTTTTCCATTCATTCAGAGGGTTTGCACATTAGTAGCTAACGGCGGAAGGATACGGTTAATGTAGCTCTCCAGCGCAGTGGACATCCTAAGTCCCGGGCTCGGTGTCTATTTATCCAGCGGGGTGGTCGACAAATACTTATAGCGGTAGTCCGGTGACAAAATAAAACCGTGCGCACTCGAACAGCAGCAGTAGCAAACGGCTAACAACACACTGGAGCGCAGACTAGAGCAATCAAACACTGAGCATGCACGAGAGCAGAGCGCCGAGCGGAAGCGTCACATCCGGTTTGTGTTAACTCTCAAAAAAGAAAACAGTAAAAACTGCGAAACTTAAAGAAAAAAAAAAAAGGGAAATACAAAAGAAAAAAACGTCAAGTTTTCTAGTCAATTTGTCAAGTTTATAAGAGAAAAACAAATTATGATACAAATTGGTATACTTACATGATACAAACTATTTTTTGACTATTTTTTTAATGACTCTAAAACATTAAATATTTATTTTGTCGTTTTTCCACCCTATCCCGTAATTTTTATCTTTAATTATTTTAAATATTTCTTTCCTTCCTATGCTCCATCATAGTTAATAACCACTTTCTGTTTATTTCAATATATTTTCAGAGCCCTCAGATGCTTCTTTGAATAGTAAAAATATTTATGACTCATTTCTGAAATATAAATGATGTGATCCACAAACAAAATGCCCACCGGAAGTGATGTCATTTCCTGTAACTAGAAAAATACAAACATATTTTTACAGTTATGTGGTCCTCACAGGAAAGGATGGTTAAAAAATTATGACGATTCTAACAAATATAAACCATTAGCGTAGATTCAACTACCAAACACAATAATAGGCATTTGAAATTAGCTTAACATGGAATAAAACAGTTTTGGGATCTTTTGGATAATTAAGGAAATCTAGTTAATGCTCTCTAAATGCACAACTATTACGTACACTTTAATGTCATTTTGAAAAATTAAAATAGTGGTAACCATGAAGGTGAAGATGTCCAGGCTGAGTGGTAAAATGGTGTTGAGAAACTTTCAGCACAGGAAAAACAGGCAGGTCTGCTTTTCTTTTCTTTCTGTCAAAGACATAAAATTAAATATGTATTAGGAAAAAAAATCATAAATAAACTTGTGTGTGTTGATGTCAGACAACACACAGAGTCCAGTTCTCCCAGCAGGTCTTCATCTTTATTGTTGCTCAGTAATCGTCCATACAAAGGCGGGTGGAGGAGAGCAGTGGAGCCCGACAGGACAAACAACAGGAACGTCATGCTACCAAAGTATTAAATTTGTACAAAAATACTTTACAACATCCCTGTTCCTTTAAAGAAAAATACAGTTTGGTTGGTTGGTGAAGCTACATGGAAACTAATCTGACCCACTATTTCAAATGGCAGTGCAATGCACGTGTGTGTGTGTGTGTGTGTAGGTAGGTGGATGTCTTGCTGAGGTGAATCACTAGAGTGCAAATCCCTGCAATGTTATACACACATACACACACACACACACACACACACACATACAGGCTCTAACAAATACACACCCACACACATGGTAATGTTAATACATGCGCACAAACACAGTGTGTATGGCTTTAGGTCTCACTCATCAAACCTTTGTGAAGCCACACCTCTCAGCCGTGTGGCTTGTTCCCATTGGTGGAGCAGTTCTCTTGGCTGAACCTTAAAACACTAACATCTATGTGTTAGCCCTCAATTCAAGGCATTAGCTCTATATTAGCAATGTAAACCATTTCCTTAGACCTTGTTAGTTCTCTTTAATCAACCTGTAACTACTACCTCGGCTAAATGCTAGCTGCAAGCTAAATTATAGTTCATGTTAGTTGTGTGCTAACATAAACCACAAATCAGTAGAAGCTGACATAAAACTGACATACTCTCTTGTTAGCAGACATTTTTAGCTCCTTGGTTACCTGTTGTGTTTACCTACCTACAAACCAACCAAGCCCTTGCTATGTTAAGTTGTAACCACACCAGTAAATAAGTGTTGAAAAATTGTACAGCTAACTTACCACCCATGTACTATGTGCAACTAGCCACATGTTATAGTTAGCTCTAATGCTCTGCATCAACTACCACATGCTAAACTGTAGTTCTATTATTTCCCATGTTAGCTTTTTGCTAACAAGAGGAAAACTTTGTTTTGCAAATGTAAGCCCTATGTTAAAGGTCTGTAAGGGCTGTGCTGGCACTAGCCGTGTGCTAACATAAAAAGTTTAGGTTTGGATAGCTCTTTATTCATATGCTAATTAAATAACTTATACGCTTATTAACTAATAAATATAGCAAGAAATGGGTGTTACACATAGAAAGCCTAATTTTCTTGTTCTATGTGTATAGTCATGTGTTATGGTTAGACTAGTCCTATGCTCAATGTCTGCTAGATACATGTGTTAGTAATGTCCTCAGACCAAGTTAGGCTGCTCACTTGTCAGTTGAATTTGATGTGTGGTATACTGCTTTTGCTAAAATTAGAAACCGTGACTTAGTACTAACCATAAGCTAAATAGCTCTGTTATCCCCATGTAAGCTATGCGTTAACATAAGCCAAAAATCTGTAAGAGATCTTCAATGGAGCTGAAATACCCTTATGTTAGCATTGTCTGCATTACGTAAACCCCGTGTTCAACATCTGTTGGTCACATGCTAAAATGTATTTCTGTTATCTGTTATGTTTGCCTAATGCAAATAAGAAAAAAACTCTTTATTTAACACATTAGCCAAATTTTTAAAATGGGCACAAGTTTTGCTTAACTGTGTCCTGACATACAATAGGATGTTACAATAAATGTTAGCTTTGGCTAGCTGTCTAAATATATGCCAACCAAGTTCTTTCTTTGTGATTAGCTAATAAACATAATAATAAATGGATATCAAACACAGCCAGCCTATGGTCCTTGTGTTATGTCTGTTATGATTACGCTAGCCCTTTGTTTAGTGTCTGCTAGCCATATGATAGCTATGTCCTTAGATCAAGTTAGCCTGCTCAAGTGTCAGTGTAATACCAGTGTTTCAGCCTTTTTCTAGTCAAGATGCTAAAAGACATTAATTAGCTCTACAGCTAACCGTACCTTAGTGAAGTGCAAGGTTTGTGCTAACAATACACAGACTGTGCTAGTACTGGGATAGCTGTGTGCTAACATAAAAAAAACGTTGGTTAAATTTAAGCTTTGGTTAGCTGCTTTTACCCATGTGCTTACAAGTCTCTTGCTATGTTTATTAGCTAGTAAACATAGTTGGGATAGTAGTTTGTACTGTGTTTATAATTATGGGTATGCTCTGCATCTGCTAGTGTAATGCTAACTACATACTAGCCATTTGCTTGCAAAAAAAACAACCCATCTGAGCTTTTAGAAATTTTTGGGTAGACCAGAACAGCCAATTACAACTATCCACATAGAAACAGCCAATCACAATGCTAATCCAAAGCACAGCAGCAACTATTGGAGTGTTTGGCTCAGGGATGCTGAGGGAGGGTTCTGATTGGCCACTTTAAATAGTGAGTTAAGACTAAGGTGAGAGCAGGAAGATGTTGACATCACTCGAAAATAAACACTCACTCAGTCTCTCTCAGACACACACACACACACACACACACACAGTGTTTACTGTCACAGGTTTCCTGTTTTAACAGGATTTTTTTTCTTTTGTAACATAGTTTTTGTGATTATGAGATGGTGTTTTCAGGGTTTGATGGTTTTTGATGTGAACAGCGATGGGGACTGAACTTTTTTTTTTAAAATCTATTTTACATATTTTCTGGTTCAGTCACCATGGAAACAAACAAACAAACAAACAAACAGAATTGACAACAGTCAATCAAAAAAAACACACCAATTGATTAGCATAAGAGATCACTGTCACTGGGGCTGGGGAGGGGAAGTCGGGGGAGGGGCATGCGTGGCTTCTTCCTGGAAGCTGATTGGTTGTCTTTGTGTGTAAAAAAAGAACCAATCACAGACAGGCAGGGAAGGAAATGTTTATGTTTCTGATTGGTTCCAGCCAATCAGCTGAATTTTTCAGAACTGCCGTCCATCATCCTGGCTGCCTATTGGTCAGGGGGTAGATTGGGTGGGGCTTGAGGTGGGAGGGGCTTAACTGGCCTTGTGTTTAACGTGTAACATACACACACACAGACACGCACACATACATACACAGTGTGGCCAGTCCAACAGGTGTAAACAGTAGAAAAAGTATTATTGAACTTGCTCAGTGTCATCATCATCATTATTATTATTGACAGTGTAGTTATCGTAACTCTTCCAGCCTGTAGCTCGTCCATGGCACAGAACTAAAATTTTAACAGTAAACCCTTCGTTTCATTTAGGATGCTCCGATCAGTATCAGCTGATCATTAGTGAAAATGCACAGATTTTTTTTCTAAAGGTAAAATTCACAAATAATTATTTAAAAAAACATAATGATATTGTCCTTTATATTATATATAAACAAATTTCTCTAGTTGACATATTAAAGCATATAAAGTAGCTGTTCTGAAGCTTTGGATCCTACCACATGTTCTCCCTTAGCAGATGGAGTGTGCCCAGTGTTGCAGAGTTTCCTTTTTTGTGTTTTTTGTTTTAACTTAGCTTGCCAAAAATTTAAATTAGAAACTGCATAATTAAGAAACATGTTTATAGGAAGTAGCCATTAATAGATGGTTTTCCACAAAATATTTCAAACTGTTACTTTTAATGGGAGGCAATGCATTCCCAAATTCCTAAGAAGATATGGACTATAGGCACTTTTGGACCAAAAAGCATCAAAGATGTATAGCTTTCCAAAATACACTTTCCAGATATACTAAGCTAAGCATGGTTTGCAGATTCTTTTCTATTCAAACTGCCTACATACCAAAGATGGACAATTTATTTTCACAAGGGGACACATGCTAAACTGGGACTGTTTTGGAGGGCTGCACCAATAAGCTGAAATAAGTTCTGCTCAATATAATTTTTTTCTCTTTATAAGCTCATTGGTGCAGAGCTCCACACCAGTCCCAGTTTCTCATGGCCTCCTCCTGGAGCATAGATATGCAAAAGTGATGTAAAAGCTGAATAGCATTAAGTATACATGAAAAATCAAATTACCTTGCCCTCACACAGAGCCAAGGTAAAATTATTTCTCTGTGCTTTGCTCCATTTTTTAATCGCTAAGAGTTTTATATACTCAGCTGATGTTACACCCATTTTTATGCAGGCTTTTTAAATGTACTTTTTTGCAATTACCTTCTGCAAATTTTAACCTAAACTCTTTACCACAGTGATTTATGTGTTGAAATGTTTTGAGTTGTGTTCTGTCAAATTTTTAGTATTCCTTTCTAACCATACTCGAATTTCTTTTAGAACTTTAGTGATGGCTAGCGGTTCTCCAATCGTGCATATCATGTGTATCTAAAAAAACTAACAAAGGCTTGTTTAACAAGACCAATAAAAATTTCTCTGGTCCGAAAGCACCTTATCTCTGTCTTTTCACTAGCTTCAAGCTGAGGCGCAACAAACATAAATATATATGCAGCTGCAGGTTTTCCTGCTCAGTAAAAACCAGAATTGTAGACATGATCAAAACAGCAAAAGGTGACCTCTAGCGACCACATAAGGTATTAACCCAAGAATGGCTCCTACAAGTATCATGTTTCAATGTCCAGCTCTGGTTTAAAACTTTAAAACAGTGTTCATCCAGAGACCAACATCTCTGCTCAAATGCTAACTTTTCTCATATTATTCATCTGTATAGCGGCAATGGTTAGTAATAATGTAAATTTTGTGAATGGCGTCATAAAATATTAGAACTGTCAGTTGTAATTTATGGAGAATTTAGGAAATTAAAGTGATAGAGAGCAGGTTACATAAAATATAGCAGCCGTTCAACAGTGGAGCCAAAGTACAAGCCAAACCTTGTACAGTTTTAGTTCAGTAAAGTGCATAATCAAACTTGACTAAGTGCTAGTTATTATTTTTCCAATAGAATGGTAAATAAGAATGCAACAATGTTAAAACCCCTCAAAGCTGTCTGTCAACCTCTGCCAAATATTTAAACCAAACTAGTGAGCCTTAGTGTCTGAATTTTATCTGGTTATCATGAAAAACTACACCTGGTAATGCCCACAGGAATAAATCTCTGGGTTGCCAGACGAACTAGCTAAGGAGGTCTTTCCTTTTGTACTGTTTAATTTGGATATCTCTTCAGGTTTCCATGTCATGTTGAGCATTTATTTTAAGGAGGTACATCTCATCATAACCTTATGAATCCAACCTTGTATACTTGCCAAACCTCACCTAATCCCAACCATTTTTGAGCTCGAACTCTCTTTCTATCGTCATTTCCACTTATACCCTTTCTTCAAAACCTGCAGTTAACCAGAACCATTTTTATTCTCATCTCTTAAACCAACCTTCTGATACCGGTTTCTTGTGGGATCTGTACCTTCTTGTTCGAAAGCTTCTTTCTTTAATTCTATGTGGGGCAGTGCCTAAAACTACCTTTCCATCAACCTTCCAATGTCAAGCATAACTACTTGGAAAACTTACACCTTCAGTAAATTCAGACTTACCGTCTTCTGCATTCTGAACAATCTAATTTTTAGTGTACTGAGGACCAGTTATTTCAGCTGGTTAAATATCAAATAGAAGACTTTCATAAGGATTTCTTATACACAAGCATAAGGATTTAGTAATCAGTATATGTTCAGTAATATCATCAGATGTAGACACTGATCAGAGCATCCCTAGTCTCCTTGGCAACTGTTATGCCCATCAGCAGGTTTCGGTATCTGGACTAGTGTCCCATCAGTCTTTGTGCTGCTGTGGATCTCGGCCAAATGCCACAAATCTGGTTCTAGTAGGCCCAGGATCCAGGATGGACTTCCCCAAGCACTGGCCATGGCAATGGCACAGTATCCATAGTTCCTTGGCCAGTGAGACCACAAACATGAACCATGCTTTGACCAGTAAGACAACTAGATTAGCCTCTGGTTTCACTAGAAACAATAGCCATTGTCCTGATCCCACTAAGACCAGTACCTGTGTGTCTTGGTATGCTAAGACTATTGGCTCAGGTGCTTGTTTAGTAGGACTTTGGTGGAACCTGGAACCATAATTCCAGAACCCATGTGTCTTCAACCTAGAATTCTAGGCTTCTAGAACCAGTAACCATCAATCTTAAAAGAGTAAGACCATTGGCTGCGGCACTGACTTCATAGGGATATATTTCTCGGCTTGTAGACCGTTAAGACTATTGGCTGTAGTTGTGGCTTCAGTAGAACCAGTAGCACTGGCTCTGGGCTAGAAGGACCAATAACTATTAATCTTAGACCAGGTAGGCCAGTAGCCCCAGTTGTGGCTATAATAGGATCATTAGAATTCTGGTTCCAGTGACACTAGTAATACCAGTATACAGAACTGGTTCAGGTTAAAAGGTGTGGAGTTGCTCCAGTCCATCACTGTGCTTTCAGGCTGCTTTAGCAGTTCAAGGGTCAAACTATAGTAGTCAAAGGTCATCCAGAGGGTGTGTGTAGCACCATGGGCGGTCTACTCCGAACCAGTTTAAACCAGTTTTAAATCAGTTTGATTCAACTTTGTTGTCCCCTTTTTCCTCACGATCTCTCCAGTCTGGTGTGGTTGAATCCAGTGTGACATAATTTTTGTCTGCTATAAGGAATTGTTTGTAACCTGCCCCATCCCAATCCCTGTCCCAAAGCCATCTCCTGGTTGGCTCCACTTAATTGGACCACTGTCCTCTCCCTGGCCAACAGAGAGCTCTGAGGATCCCAGGTCACTGCCAACTAGCTGAGAGGGGTGGCTGCTGTTGGTTGTGCCATCGGTGTGATTGGCCATCAGGGTAGAGGAGGAAGAGGATGAAGGGTTTCGGCTGATTACAAGCTCCAAGCGGTTTGGAGACTCTGCAATCAGGGGAACTACAAGGCAGCAGTCAAAGTCCCTGGTCCGCACATGGTTAATCTGTAAGAAAAAAGAAAACTTAATTTAAACCAAGAAATGAAGAGTTGAAGGCTGTGGAGAGATTAGTGAAACTGGTATATTTTTGTACCTGTAGTATTCGGTCATAGGCTTTGAGACCACCCCGTTCCGCTGGGCCTCCGGGTCGGATGTTATTAACATAGACGCCGCGGTCCAGCAATCCATCAGAAACGCTGAAACCAAAATCCTCCAGGTCTGTCGCCTTCTCCAGAGTGAGCTATGAGTACAAAAACACACCTGTCAGTTAATAAGGATCACAGGGTTTGTGAACCTCCCTAAAGAGAGCAAACACAGGCCAAACATTACCTTGTGAAGTTCCACAGGGTTCTGGTTTAGGATGTCATTTACTTCCTGTCTCATCTTCCTCATGGCGAAGGCTCGGCGCTGAGGGTCAGAGGGCAAGGTGTTGGATCGAGGAGTCACCTGAGAACAATCACAAGAAAGTTGTCTTCAAAATCAATATTTCACAAAATAACACATATCACAGAGAGAGGTTAAAGATCAGCGGCATGTACTTGTGGTCTGGAGTTGCTGCGCTCCTGGAAACTCGCCTGGCGTCCCAGTGTGCTCCGCAGAGGGGTGGGATCATGGTTTAGACTGAGGGTGGAGCCTGACATGATGGTAGCCTATGAGAGTCAATCAGAGAACAGCAAGCGCAAACATCCAATCAGAACCGGATAAATAGCAAACATGGTAATTAAAGATTGCTGCCTTTGAACCCAGGTGGCAGGAAAGGACCTCTTTCTAATCATAAATCACTATTATTTACTGTGCCTCTACTGATGTTTCTGAATTTCCATTCCTAGGATCTGCTGCTGTTTTTGAGCAGGCTCAACTGTTGTCACCATTGACTGTTTTAACTCATATTTACTGACAGGATCTCTTGTTTTGTACAGTTTAATGGCCTGTAATATGAAGCAGGTTCAACATAACAAAGAAAATCTGGCTTTGCTTACTCTGATATCAGCAAGCAGCCACACGAAGGTGGTTATTGGTACCATTCAGGTCTATACAGTAAACTGTTTGGGGGAGTTTTTTGGCATACACTCTTTATATTCCCAGTGTGTCATTATGTTTTCCAGTGCTTTTAGATTTCATTTTAATATTTATTAACTGTGGAATTTTCTAACCTAGCAGTAAGTTTGACAACACATATCAGGAGCTGATGATCTCTCTATAATAAACACACACCAGCCACATTTTTTTTCTTTTTTTTTAGGTAAACCTAAAAACTATAAGAACTATCTTAATTCTTCGAAGTCCAAGTTGGAACTTCTTAATGTCATCTTGATGACATGTAGAAATGCACCATGTCATTTCTACATGATTGGGTGATTAGCTAATTGCTTTAACAAGCAGCTGAACATGTATACCTAATAAAGTGTCTGGTAAGTGTATATTACTCTATTTAAGGCTTATAGGAAAATAAAATTGCTTTAAAACGGCAGTTTTCCATTTTTCTTACTGGTCAGGGAAAGAAAAACTACATACTAGTCATCAAGGTGTGAGGGATCTTCTAAGAATCAATACTGATTGATCAGTAGACTAAGGCTTTGTACATGCAGGTCTCTTATCTCAAGCATAGCCGACATAATCTAATAAGACATGAACTCTGAAAGCTCAGCATTCAACCTGAAGTTAGCTGTCTAATCATAAATCCTGCTTCGTAGTACAGACCTCTACAGATAGATTCTACTTTTGAGCTCACCCAGAGGATTTCAACTCTCTGACTGTCAATGTTTGATGATTGTGCTTATTTTCCACATCACACCCTTTTTTTTTAAATGGCTAAACTTCCCAACCGATGCCCACTTCAGCCAATCAGAATCAAGAACTCATCAAACGCATGCATGACTGACAGATCTGCTTCATGACTGGCAAAAAAAAAAAAAAAACTACCCATGAGGCCTTGCGCAAGCTCTCCAAGCATGCCTTGCTCAAACTGCCATGCCTGGTGCAACAACATGACTCTGCCATGTGACTGTGTTTGGAAGCTGGGTGATGTCACTAAGATGTCACAATGACGTCACCATGGTCTGCTGTTAGAATGCAGTTAGAGTCACATTCAAAACCAGCAAACATGTCAGATGTTTGACAACGCTGGAGGTCCAGTTAGAGGAGACAGAAGAAGAGGAGGACAGGAGGAGTTAGTACAGGGGAGGGAGGATGGGGAATACCAGAGTGAGGAGGTGTGTCTCCTTTCCAGACTCCTGGAAGAGAAGGAGTCTCTTTTTTACTTCTGTGTGCCAGAGAAGGTATAAACATGTAGTTCTTTCAGCATGAATTGGACAAATATGACTAAACTTTGACTGTCAGTCCTCAGGGCTGAACAATAAGCCTCTCATCAGTGTTCACATCACTACATGATTATTTGTGTTAACAGTTTTTGTCCAGTTCAATAATTAAAGTGATCAATATTTCAGCTATATTTGGTTTGTCTTCATTCTTGTGGATGTGTGATGTGGTTTTTAAGTGTTTCTGTGGATAAGAAGAACATTATAGTTGAGCTCATTACAGACTTCCAGCCTGTGTTGCTGTTCAGATCAAAATATCAATGTCATCCTGTAACAGTGCAGTGTATTGGGCACAGGAATGCTACAACTGTTTATTACAGAAGGTCTATACTGTAACTTCTCCAAAGCCAAGTGGGGAGACGTGATCTGGCTTGCTGTCCAAATGTTAAGTACTTGTGACAGTGTGGTGTATGGGTCACAAAAAGTTTATCTGTTTTTAAAAAATGCTTAATGAAGACTGTAAAAAGTTCACTTATGTTGAGCGTCTTTTTCAAATTGTGTTGAAATTGTGGACTTCAACCTACAAACCAGTTTTTAAATTGTGTTAATCAGCAAAGTAAAACCGCAGTTATAATAAATATTTTATGCCATACTTCCTCAAAACTGTCCTCATATTTAGTGCAGGAAGAAGCTATAAAAATGGGATTTTCTAAGGACAGAGACAGTTCTATCAGAGAGATTTATGACACTTAGTGTGTTTGGACTGTGTTCTTAGTAGTGGTGCAACGGATCAAAAATCTCACGGTTTGGATCAGATCAATTTTCGGATCAGCAAAAAAAAAAAAAAAATGTTAACATTTACTTATTAACTTATTTAAGTATTTTTTGCCTATTAAAAACATTCAACTCAAGACTCATCCCACAGAATTATATAAAAACAAATTAAGGTGCAATATAGGGCAGTACAGGGCTTTGTATCTACCACTCCGCTGTGATATAACGAGCGGTCACGGTCACGTAGCTTTCCGTTGCCCTGGAGGTCCACCCATTTGTAGTTGGGCAACAGAAGATGCCTGGGACAGTTCAGCCATAACTTTAAACTTTTCCTGCTCATACATGCCGGGGTACGATCTTGTCACTGAAGTGGACGCGCAACGGGATATCATAGCGTGGCTCAAGCACGTTCATCACAGTTTAAACCCCTTGTTTTGCACAACGGAATACGGCCTCCCGTCTGCAGCTAAACACCCCAGTAGCTTTTGTAATAGCTTTAGCCCGGTTGGACTGGGCAGCAAAGGGCTGCTTAAATGCCGCAAACTCCTCTGCTCCTCCACTTGGACCGCTTTCGCTGACCATAACTATTGCTTAACAGACTGACCACGCGCACCATACACATACTTTTTTGAATCTTCGGATCACGTGCGTGCCGAACCGTGGAGTGGGATTGGTTCAGATAACGGATCAGCCGTGATCCGTTGCACCACTAGTTCTTAGTGTGTAGGGTAGGTTTTTTTTTGTTTTGTGTGTCATAACATTGAGACGACTACTGAATGTCACAGATGCCAGTCAACAATCCACCAATGGCAGACTGCAGCGTAAACGCTGTCTCCTGGTGATCCACAGGAGGAGTTTCTACACCTTCAAGGTGTCAGGCCTGTGATGTGCCCCCTTGTCTTATGGTAGACAGGAATTTAATGTAAATAACTACCACATTTGTACAATTTGAAATTTACAATTTATATTTGCATTTCAATGTTTGTGGTTTTCACACTAATAAAGTCTAACTGTTGCAACTCTGATTTTTTTTGTGTGTGTGATTTTAGGTCAATTGTGTTAATACAGTATGTCAAAATGGAAAATAACTGTAAAGACATACATGTGAGATTTTATTGAAAGTAAAATCAAAAACCAAATAAACTCAACTCCAGAAGGTTAAAAAATTAGCCTTAATCCATCATCTTTTCAACATTTTTTCTATATCTTCTTTGAGAAAAGCCAGCCTATCAAACTTCACAGTGTAGGTGCTGGTATCCATACACCAGAGGGCGATGCAGAAAGGCATTAGCATCTGAGAATTCTTCATTTGCTGAATAAAAATTTCAGAAGCCTTACTCCTGCTAATACTCAACTCTTACTGTAAATACTTCTTCTACTGCTAACACTTCTCACTATAGTAGATTTCGTGGCGCTCCTCACCTCCAGCTCTCTGAGGATGCCGCTCTGTCCACAGGTCTCCAAGTCCTCCAGAGCCTGAGACCAGAAGTTCTCCTCCTGGTCTGGTTCTGTCCCATCATGTCCCACATTAAACCTGAGAGGGAAAGGTAACAGGTCAACCAGTCAGCATGATGGGTACACACACACACACACACACACACACACACACACACACACACACACACACACACACACACAGGAAGCTAGTGGTCATGCTGGAGAGTGTTTTTTTAACAGGAGGGGGCATGGGCAGTGATGACATACACATCCACCAGGTATTGATATCGGTGTGGCGGGGGTTAAAGGTCACCAAGTGAGGGTATCTGCTGGAGGTTACTGGGTGTCACAGAAGACTGTGTGTGAAGGGTTAAAGGTCAAAGGTCACTGTGGTACCTGCTGTCAGAGATTAGACCGCTGGGCAGATTACAGCCTCTGCAGAAAGACACACTACTGTTATTGCTGTTAGCTCAGTGCTACATACTCCATTGTTCTGGATGAGGAATGCTAACAGCTACAAAAGATATGCTGCAAAATGTATCCGTGCACATCCATCTTCAGGCCTCTCTTCTGATGTGCTTCTGGGTTTAAGGGTATACACATACTAGGCAAGCTCAGTTTGTTTAGACTGATCTTATCACACAGTTTGAGCATCAGTGTCATAGTTTCAGTGAACTGCGCCAGTTTGTGATGTAGAGGAGGAGGATCGAGTATCTGTACCCTCAGTATTTCATCTGTATCTGATAATTCATGGGAGAAAACTTGAAAAATTGCATTCTGAGTAAATTTGGAAATCACTATGTGGCATAAGTGGCTGCTCAAAACTAGTATGAAAAGCATATTAATCCTTCTCCCTCCTCTGTAACAGTTTTGAATAATTGTGTTGATCAAAGTACTTTAAGCCCTGAAAACAGCTTGATTAAACCTGGAACAGTTGAATACTGTCTGTTATATAACAAAGGTTATTACAGTTTTCTTTACTCAAGCTTTTATGTTTTTCACTGTGCCGTTCACTCAGTCTCTCACCCTCCGAGAGGTGGGCGGTCCCAATCATCGTCATTCAGACCCAGATCCGACAGTGGATTGGCTCTCTGGCGAGTGGAAGATGATGATTGGCTGTTGCTTGTCTTGGCGCTGCGCCACTCGTGGAAACTGTACAGTGACGACTGAAAAGTAGGAGCTACACACACCAGCAAAGGAGAAGTGTTTCATTACTGAGGCATTAATGAGGTCAGCAGAGGTCAGAGGTCGGTCCCTACCTGGGGTGGTGAAGCTGCTGTCCATGTTGGATCCATCCCAGGACTCCACAGCGCTGTCCACGGACGGCAGTGTGCTGAATGCTCTCTGGCTTGTCGGAGGTGCAACCATGACAACAGGCTCCTCCTCCCCATCCTGGTTCTCCAGGTTAGGCCCCACTCCTGGCCCCAGACCCGAACCAATCACGCAAGACTTTGGGCTTGACACTGCAGACAGACGGAGTACGTTTGTCAAACCACCAATGTGCGTTCGTGAATATAAATGTGTAAATCTGTCACTCCACTGGAAGTGACACTGTGTCCCGTCCCTTTAATGAGCTGTACGTTCAACTCTTCCCCTACCACAAGGGGTCGCCACAGTGTTATGGGTAGCTCTGCATCTTTGATTCGGGAGCTTTATTCCCTTCCAGGGCGATCGTGGCTCAAGAGTTGGGAGTTCGCCTTGTAATCGGAAGGTTGCCGGTTCGAGCCCCGGCTTGGACAGTCTCGGTCGTGTGTCCTTGGGCAAGACACTTCACCCGTTGCCTACTGGTGGTGGTCAGAGGGCCCGGTGGCGCCAGTGTCCGGCAGCCTCGCCTCTGTCAGTGCGCCCCAGGGTGGCTGTGGCTACAATGTAGCTTGCCATCACCAGTGTGTGAATGTGTGCGTGAATGGGTGGATGACTGGATATGTAAAGCGCTTTGGGGTCCTTAGGGACTAGTAAAAGCGCTATATAAATACAGGCCATTTACCATTTACCATTCCAGACAGAAAAGAAGGGACTGAAAAGGGGACTTTTCGCTTGTTGGGTGCTAGTTTGCACCACCAAACTATGGAGCCACTTAATGACCTGTACAAATAACGACCATCATTCAAACCTCTCCATGAGGTGTTAACAGCAGCGATGGCATAAAAGTGCAGGTTAGAAAACTTCCCTAATGAAATCTTTAAATTACGGTAAATTATATTCAACATGTGCTCTGTGGAGGACTGTTTATAAAAATGGTTCTAATTCTTGAACAGTTAATGTTTAACTTTGTCAAACAGCCTGAATTAAAGCTTAAAGTCTGACTGTTCGATTTAACATCCACACCACCGCCACAACTTCAAGCTGGATAAAACACAAAGCCATAAAAAGGAAAGTTGATGCCGAGGAGGGAGACTGGGTTGTCAGTTTCTTTTTTTCAAAGATCATAACTGGTGCTGATATTTTGATGTTTGAATCATTTGAGTCACAGAGGGGGAACAGAGGCTTCAGAAAGTCGCTGAAGTGGAACGATGCATTCAGCCACTGCACAATGTGTCTCTCTGAGGCCATCTTAAAGCCATGGAGCTGTAAAAGGAGGTTTCCTTTTCATGTGCAGCCGGTTTCACAGCAGAAGGCTTGGCAGTTTGGTACAGGTAACTGCACGATCAAAAAGCTTTTACTTTTCTTTCTGTTTAAAATGAAAACTCCCACACAGCTGCTGTAAGATCAGGACTAGAAAACAGTCTGTGGGCTGCTTGTGTGCAAGAACAAAACTTATAAGTTATTATTTTGCTCTTATATCAGGACATATTTGTTACAATTAAATGTCCAAAGCTGGTGAAACAGTTGGTCGTGAATTATTCTGCTTTATTAATAGTTTATAAAGGCTACTGAGTGATTGTTACTGGTTGAGTAAGCTGTATGAGACACACTACACAAGCCTGGCTCTTGATGTGAATCTCATTTCCTTGTGTTTTGCATTTTCTGTTGATGCTTGTGATTATGAACGGTGTTTATGGTGTGAAAAAAGCGTCTACGTACGTTCTCCCTGCTTCTTGATCTTCAACGTGACCGTCTCGCCCGCCTGCTGCAGCAGACTGATGGCTTCACTCAGAGGTTTCCCCTTCAGGCTGCTGCTGTTGATCGCAAGAATACGGTCGCCTACATGGATCGCACCAGTCCTGTAAACAACACCAAAACACACAGAAATATACACTCAGGGTTCAGCAACTCAAAAATCATACTTGACAAGACTTTAAAGAAGACTGGAACTGAGTTAACAGTCTCAGGGAAACACAAATATACTTATACACAAAATAGAAATGAGAATCATTCCTGTAGGAAAGAGGTGAAAACCCAATTGATGATGAGGAAAATAATTATTTTTAAACAGCAGAGGGCGACACTCTCCACTTCATCTGGCATCCTAAGCTTATCATGTCTGTCACGGTTTCACTCCATATTTCATTCCTCCAGTCACTGATGTTATTTTTAGAAAGATGAAAAATCTTTTCTTATTTAATATTTCCTTAATTTTTTATAGTGAGACCATTTAGATGGCCTGCGCTGATACTGTATTTCTTATTTTATACATCATCAAACATAATCCCTCAGATTTAGGCAGCCAGCTTTAGCATTTCCTCTGTTTACGACATTTGACATAAAGATGGCGTTTACACAAACAACCCTGGTTCTAAGCTTCTTAGAGTCTGAGTTTCTGTAAATAAAATGCCGTATTAAGCACAGAATGTATTTAATACTAATCCAGAATCATACATAACACCAGCAGGGAACTACTAAAGACAATAGAGCCTGCACTAATGATAATAATAATAATAATAATAATAATAAACATCTATTTATGGCACTTTATAGTGAATAAATGCGATCCTCCAAATAGCTGAAAAGAACAGAAAACTAGATGTGCTGATTAAGTGATTAAATAATCCACAAACTTGACATGTTTTCTACAGGTGTGACCTGTAATTTATTTTTTATGTAATGTAATTAGAGTTCATGTGCGTGCACCTCTCTGCCAGCCCCCCCTTGCTCAGAGAGGAGATGATGATGGGGTCGAAGGGCTCCTCGGTGCCTGAGATGGTGATTCCCAGCGGACCACCATAGCGTTGAAGCTCCACTGTGTAAATGATGCTGCCAGACACCTCCTGTTCATCTGAAACATTCAATAAAGATCGATTCCACATAAGGTCAGTGGTGAACAGATGATCAGGAGAAGATGGCATGGGAAGGGATGATGTGGTGACACAGACTAAAACACGCTAAAACTAAGCCAGAAGTGCAACGTTTGTCCTGAAAGTAGCATTAGACACCTCCTTTAAACCTTGAGTAGGTTTTCAGGGACTTAAGGGCCCTGTGTACCCTTAAGAGCGGCTGAGGACATTTAGAAAACCTTGACTGGGATCTATATCGCCATTAAAATGTTCTAAAGGTTATCAAGGTCCAGGGTCTGCCATAAGTTTAGTGAAATCCTCAATCAAGGTCAAAGTATTCAGCAATGTTTGAGTTAGTTTTGAAAAGAAGAGCCACCCTGGTAAGACACTTGAGAGTCCTTGAGGAGTTGATGGCAGATTTCAAGCAAACAGTTTGCTTTCCAGTCGTCCTTTAGGACGGTTGACGATCCGGCTCTACATCTAGTAGTAGTAGTTCTAGTAGTACCTTAGTAAATTTCTGTTCGTCCTCATGGACGATCGAGTCGATTTAGAAAATATGAATGGGGTCCTGAAGGATTCAGGGATGTTCTAGTTGGTGTTGAAGATACTTAAGATTGTGCTGGTCCCTTAGAGTCACTGATAAGGTTTGAAAGAATTTGGCCATCCTGAAGATCACCAACAAGATCCTAAATGTTTTTGAGAACATTCATTTTTTGGAAGAAGATTTCAAGAATACTGGATTAGTTTGTAGTCCTCGAAGACTCCTGACAGTCAGGTTGTGATCAAGTTACGATTAGATTTCATGTTTAAAGAGGTTTTAAGTTTAACTTAAAATGATACAAGACAAATGATTTCAAATCAGCTATTGATCTAGAGAGTTTAGGACCCCATCAGGACTCTCTAAAGTACAATAAAACTGTCATAAAGATGCTAAAGATCTCAGGATTGTCAGAAGATTAGTGAAGATTTTATGAGCACCAGTTTGGCTCCTACATGCTTTTAAGTACCACTGTCTTTTCACTTATTCAAAAGGATTTAGGTGTGACTGTTGGTGTTGCTAAAGCTCTTTAAATATGATCTTTTGAGGAGAATTTGGAAAGGTCCCACAGCTTATTAAAGTTGGCAAGTAGGTCACCACGGAACGACTCTAGAGGTTCTTTTTAAGGAGGATTAATGATACTGTGGGCATCCCTGAAAGCTGGTTTATCACTCGGCCTCTTGCTTTTGGGAATAGACTTAAAAGCGATACCAGAGTTGTCTTCATCTTTGCGGATCTTCAGTTTGACGAGCTCCTCACACTGCTGGAGGATCTGAACAGCTTCCTCCATGGAGCAGTTCTCCACACGGATGTTATCAATGGCCAGCAGCTTGTCTCCCAGCTCCAACGTCCCCGTCCTGAAAACACATTCAGGTAAATTAGAGGAACAAGTTTAATAAAGAAGTCAGCTGAGATCGTTATTATGTCATATTATCATAATCATGACTGCAGTGCATCTGCTTTATGGACAGGATGGAATTTTGCATTAATATCAGTTCTTCAACATATGAAATATAACCTTACAAATTTTACATGAAGATATGTTAACTTGTACATGAAATAGGAGTGAAGATATTGCTTTGGGTTTAAACCACGAGGTACAACTTAAACCAATTTTTTAGGCTTTATTTGTTTACATTTTGGGAAAATTAATCCCAATCATTTTACCTAATATCAGTTCTTTTTTAGTTTGTAAAGGACATCGAAGCTGGAAGATATCCTCTGAAATTGGTCCAAAATCTTGTAAAACCGCCGGCACTTTCTTTTCCGTATGAAGGTCTATAACTAGTCCTCTGCTTCCTGTTTCTAAAAGGCCTGCAGAGTAAACAGATGCTACCTGCCAGCAGAAGCCCTTTAGCTCACATTCTGCTTCACAGTCCAAAACACATGACCTACAAACCACGACATGCACAGGCCTGGACCGTTAGCCTAATTAACCAAACACGTACAGGCGGCAGTCTGAGGTTTAACACAGCTGACACTGTTTTATTTTAGCCTCACATACTGTGTGTAGAGTTCAGCCTCGGTTAGGTTTAAGGCTGGATTAGAGTTAGTTTAGCCATAGTTTGTGTCACCTGTGTGCGACGCTGCCTTTTTTGATGTCCGAGATGATCAAAGGATCACCTGGTTTCCTGTTGGACGGAGCTGCAGACACACAAAGAGACGAGTTGAAGATGAAACAGAAAACTGTAAATAATTAAACCTGTTTACACCACTACAACCAGAAGTAACGATTAAATGTTAAAGGGGAAAAGTAAAATCAAAGCAGGAAATGTAATATTGAAGTGACACCCAAGAGGAGGTCGGGCTGGATCTGGTCTGATGAAATCTGTCTTTCAGAATGAAAATTTAATTTCCCCGATGTGTAAACATGATGAAACACCAAATTAAATCATTTAATAAAAAATAAAACTACTGTCACTGACAATAAAAAGACTTTTATAATATTCTAGTTGCTTGTTTTGGCATTGGCACTCTTTCTTAATCAATAATTAACACAGAGCTGTGTTACTAATAAAGTCTATCTAAACCATCCACAGTAGCGACCTCACATTAGTGTACGTGTTTGCGTAGTCGTTTCTCCTTACTTACAGCTGATGGTGATTCCCAGTTCCACTCCTGGTTTCTTTGGGAGCTTTACGTGGAACGTCCCTGAACTGGGGATGACTGACTCTGTGCAGAAAGATGGAGACATTTCAGCAGTAGAAATGTTTAATTTACTGTGAAATACATCAGAAGAGGAATAAAGGCTTTCTGCTCAACATCTTCTCAGTCAGAATCAGGTGATTAAGCTTCTGTTCAAGGCTTTAATCATACGCTCTGTATACAGTCCTGCCTGGCTTGATGAGAACCAGGGTTTCAATCTTACTCACACTTGGTTTAACGGTTATAAATACAGGAAGAAATAGAAATATTTTTTGCTCAGAGACCTCAGCAGACATGTGGAAAACAATTTCAATAACAGTCAATGATTAATCACAAAGTGAGCTCGTGGGTACGACGTATATGTTAGCTGTCCATGTATTAAACCTGATTCTACATAACTTAGAGGACACATCATGCTCTCAAATGTTTATAGAAGATCAAAGTTCAAAACTTAGAGGTGATCATACATAAAAATCTTTCCTGCAAGTCAAAAATCTTTAATGCACCATTTGTGATGACATCTGTCTGTTTTGTAGCTATTATGTTAAGAATGTTCAGGAAGTCTTTTGTGCTGTCCATTTGTACATTTTATTAATTTATTAAGTGAAGTATTGAGATTATTAATTGTTAATATCAACACTGACTGATAGAGACAAAAAAAGACTGCTACAGATTCACACTGGCCGTAGATGCTGACAGTAGGTGACGTAACATTTAACTTCACCATTATTAGATGACGCACAGCTATATCGCTTCTTCGCTACCATTCGGTACAGTAGACTGGACATCACAAAATAAATTGGGAGTTAATCTTTTACATAAGCCTTTGTTTATAACTGGCTATGAGCATGTTCATAAACATACATCCACTGCTTGGTCCCTTTATTCCGAATATCCAAAGCACTGTTAAGAACTCATGTTAAAACTGAAAATCCAGATGATCTTCTAATTATTAAAAAAAGCTAAATTGATCTGTTCTTGTTGAATTATCCTGTGTAAAGATTATCTATTACTCACTTTCCATAAAATCAATCAGCATAGATGATGACATTATAGAGATTTGTAAAATAAATGATTGTAGTATTTTGGCTCCTTGCAGGTTTTGGAAGATGTCCCCTTGGACTGACTTCAGTTATGATGCTTTCAGGAAGTGAGGAAAATTTTCTCAGCCTTATGTTTCTCTGGGAAATAACGTCCACGGTCTATATTCTTCTTTTGGTTAAATAGTGACTCTGACTGTCCTGTAAATGACATCTCGTACAGTTAACCGTCCTGCAGCTACAAATCATACAATATGCCTGTGAGTCACTACTGACAGCTTGTTGTGTCGTTCTATTAAACTCAGGCGTAGGTGGTTATTTACACCAGCTGGAGTACGTTACATCCACAAAGAGTCTGACAAATTACAGAGAAGCAGAACCAAACACAGACTGGCAGTCAGTCAGCCAAAACACGACGACACAGAAAACAGATGTCTTTGCCCAGCAGACAGACATTCATCAACAAGCACAGTTTTCAGTGCTGATCAGAAGCATGAAAACACAATTCTGATAAAATGTTTTTGTTTTTTTTTTTACCAGCTACATCAAACTCAATTTCCAGTGTGAGCTGAGCAGTGATGGACGAGTCTCTGAGAAGCTGATTGGTTTCTTCAAGGGTCGAATCTTCGGTTGGAACGCCGTTTATGGATAAGATCCTGTCACCGATCTGCAGGATGCCACACCTACACATATATACACAAATATCTGATCACTGGAGCTCTCCTTACAATACTGTAGAGTCTGTACAGAAGGACATGAGGTAATGGCATTTTGAACTGGTGCTGCAAACATAAAATGCAAAGCTGCGATATAGAAAATAAAAATTATATATATGTTACCATGATTATCAATAAAGACAAAATATTAAATATTTCCAAATTTCACAAAAAAAACTGAAAATTGGGGGGGAAAGTTCAAATCTGAGAAGCAAGGGCAAAAGAAGTTTTTCTCTAAATTTTTTAAAAGCCATCATAGCTGTGTCAGTGTGTTTACCTCTCAGCGGGGCTGTCGGGGTCGATGTAGGCAATAAGTGGCGGGGATGACAGCGTTTCCGTGGCGAACACTCCTCCCTGCAGTTGCAGGCCAAACCCCATGATGCCGTCGCCAAGCAGCGTCACCTCGGTGGTTTCCGTGTGGACTACCTGACCGGCCAGACCCACAGTGCTGGACGCCAGGGACACTGACAGAAACAAAGATTATTCTATTTTTTAGTCTCATTTTCCTCCCGTCCTGTGACAACACCTCAGTCCTGTCCTTGTTTTCTGTCATACATACGCTGTTAGAGGGTGCAAGATCATATTAAAATGTCATGGTTTAAGGGTTTGTAATGTTTTTTTACATTTTGTTGGTCATTATTGGTCATGTTATGAATTCATGTCTAAAACCAGCTAATAAAATAATAAGATTTGTTGGATTTGGAGACAGACTCACAGGAGCTCTTAAAGTCCTTTTTCTTGCCCTTCCTCCTCATCAGTGTGCCCCGTGGACTTGTGGGATACATGTTCCTGGGCAGGGTGCTCATGTTGAGGGAGGAGAGGCTATAGGCCGACATGGAGCCTGGAGAGAAGGAGTGGCTGAGCGCTGCAGAAAGAGAGAGGGCTGATGAGGAAAGGTCTCTCTCTCTCAACAGAAAACATGAGAGAGAGTGAGAGAGGTGCACGTACGAGGATTGTTTGTATGGCGGTTGTGCGATCTGGCGCCTGATTGGTCAGGGTGGTACGTGTTGTAGTGGTAGGGGGGGAGGATAGGGGCAGAGCCTCCGGTCTCCCAGGGGAGGGGGCGGGGACTACGCTGCACCTTGACTGCACAGACACACACAGAGGAGGGTGTTTAGGTTAAGACAAGAGGAAAGGTCAAAGGTGAGGCAGGTGCTTGGATCACAGCATCGAGATACCTCACTGGGAAGCCAGATGAGGAACTGTCATGCATACACAGGTGTGTGTCTTTCACGGCTTTATAAAAGATTACTCCTCTCTTCACATAATCTTTTATAGGGCCTCTTGAGTGTGTGTGTGTGTGTGTGTGTGTGTCTATACTGGTCTGTGGTGCATTCAGGGCCTTGTCGGATGTGATGTGTGTACGTTTATACCGTGCTGTGGTGCGTTCAGGGCTGGTCGGGTCTGGTGTTGTGGCAGGATCTCCAAGCGGACGGTCTGACAGGAAGCAGAAAGCAGCTGAGTGGCTTCAGCCAGGGAACAAAACTCCATCGACTTCCCATCAACGGACAGGATATGATCTCCTGCATGAAGAGCACCACACCTACACAAAAACACAAAAATAAACAGAGAATTTAAACCTGAACTTGGACAAAACTCATAAGTTAAATTTCTGCAGTTAAAAGTGCAACAAAATATTTCAATTTCTGCACAAATACTGAAGTTAAAGTGTGACTGAATGAAGCTGAAAGATGACAAGGTGGTTAAAATAACCAAATTTACATAGAATCAAATAATAAGATAAGAAAACGGTGGTAATATTAGTTAATAAGCTGAAATTCCACTTTAGGCAAAATGAAAGCAGCTGGAACGATGCTCAATACGTGAAATCAATAAATAATAATAATAAAACAATGCAGTTAAAACAGTAAAACAGCATCAGGGTCAGAGGTTAGATACCTGTCTGCTATACTGGCTGGTTTGACCTTGTCGATGATGATGACCTGCTTGTTGCAGAACATGGAGGTGGACAGGGCCACACCCAGGCTAGACCCTGCCGCCTTGGCAACTTCAACCAGCAGCGGCCCTGATGCCGTGGCAACAGAGTCTGAAGGAGGGAAAACAGACAAAGTTTTTACAGTTTTTACATCGTGTAATTTACAAACGGTCCAAACGGTGTTCATCAGGGTTCCATCCTGGGTCCTGTTTAATTTTATGTAAAAGTTCCAAATAAACTAATCATCTGAAATCTTTATAATTCAGATGATACTCTTCTTTACATGTTGGTAAATTTTTAGAATTTTACTCAACACAGTACAAAGTACAAATGATCTTTTATTTTAACCAAAAATCACATTTTGGGTTTCAGATAATAAATACAAAATAATACTTCTCATGCACTGTTTCCTAATGTTAACGTTAACCAAGAACAGGACTGAATATACACATAATACAGTTGGGATCAAAAGTCTATATCGACTTAATCATGTGCATGAGTGTTATGGAAATTCCAGTATCTATTGGTAACTGTTCTTTTTCCAGGGTTAAATGATTGTGCAGCATACATCTTTAATTACATAAAAAATAAATAAATAAAATTAGCTGCACAAGTTTGAATTTATTTTGGATTTTCTCTACTCCACAGTGCCCCTAAATAAATCATGTTTCTGCCATAATTCGGGCTAAACGTTTGACCAATCATCTTGGCAGAATTGATACAGTTCATTTAAACTGACTGGTTTCCTGGGACATACTTATGGTCTACTCTCTTATTATTTTTCTACTTACAGAAAAACATTAATGAGTTCTGCAGAACACAAACTTACTTCTTTAAATTGCTTTTGTCATTCAATAAACATCTCAAAATTGTATCTAATATCCACATATCAGGATGGACACAAATTCAAGCTCAGCTGCAGTCCTGGCACACTGTTTGGCATCGTTTCTCATCTGTAAGCCCCCTGGCAACCTACCTCTACCCAAACTTTCCATTAAATGTAATTTCAAATTTAATAACAATAAATGTCAAAACCAGTACAAGCAAGATTTCAGCTTGAATCCCCACAACCTTCTCCTTTTCCTGCACAGTTCTGATGTTAACTGATTAACGCTTTAAGCTCTGCTGGGAGGGGACACTGATGACTGACCCATCACGGAGACGTCATACTCAATCAGCAGCGTGGCCTCCTGTCCACACTGCTTCAGGATGCTCATGGCCTCTGAAAGTGTGCTGCCATGGAGACGAATCCCATCAATGCTTAACAACCGATCACCTGGCTTGATGGTTCCTTCCCTGCAGGTAAAAGAGAAAGAGAACAGTTTTTATTCTGTACAAAGGCTCCCAAGGGACAAAAATCAGACAGACAGGTCAGAGGTCACGTACCGGTCTGCTGGGCCGCCTGGCCGGATGGTTGTAATGACGATGGGACGGGACTTGTTCCTGTCTTCATGGGCTCCACCTGCAAACACGCGGTCACATCACCATGTTTATTTTGATTTATTCTAAACACACAAACAGAACTCGCCTCACCTCTGATGACGAAACCAAAGCTGTTTCCTTCTTTGTGAAGCGTGACTTCCACATTCTTAAACATGACCCCTGACCCCTGCACCGCTGCAACACACCAGAACATCAACAACACGTCAACATTGCAGCCGGCCGGGTGCAGCTGAGTGTACACGTCTTCTGCTGGCAGAACTTACAGACAGGCGGCAGCTCGTACTCGACCTCCAAGACGACCCGTTCACCCACGTTCTTCAGCAGACTGATGATCTCATCGTGTCTGAACTTGGCCAGGTTGATGCCGTTGACAGACCTGATATAGTCGCCCACGTTCAGCTGGTCACTCCTGAGCAAACAGCCAAAACATCAGCTTTAATTTTACTTAATCAAACCTTAATGAGTTCGTTTAAGAAGAGGCTGTTCCAGAAAGGGTGCTGCTAAACATTAATAACTGCCACTGCTGCACCAATATCCATTAATCAGTCACCCAAAGTGTTCTGTGTCAGTTTTGCTCATTGTCGCTTTGTAGCTGGTAGTTGATCGTACATTGCAGGCTCCTGCTGCAGCCCAGTCACCTATGCCTAGAGGGTAACGGCTGAGAAAAATATATATTATCAGGCTGGTTAAAGAGGGGTTGCTGGAGGTTGCTGGCTGTCTCTAGGTAAACTCAGTCACAAAAAGGGTTCTTTCAGTTTGCATGGAATATGCAGATTTGTCTGCAAATACTCATCGACTACCCACTGAGCGTTAGTAAAACTTTAAAAACGTCCGACCAGAAACCTTCAAAGTAAAAGTTAGTTAGTATCTTGCCCAAGGATATTTGGCATGCAGACTGGGGAAGCCAGGGATCAAACCACCAACCTTCCGATCAGTAGATGACCCACTCTACCACCTGAACTACAGGCTACAGCCACCCCTGGAGCCCACTATGTGGAATATTCATGTAATCTATAGGTTTTCACTAAGTACAAAGTGATGTAGAACACGTTTTGTCTTTTTAATATCTTATATCAGATTGCTCATCCCTTTAAACAACTGAAAATACCTGGCACAACTCCAAAGTTAGTCTCAATGGCGATTCTTTGTTTTTTGGCTCAAGTCCTAAAAACACAAAGACCAGATGTAGAAGACATTACCGGGCCGCGATGCCTCCCTGCCGCAGATTTGAAACTCGAGGCTTCCCATCTTTGTCGATTCCTCCTGAAACTGTCAGCCCGAGCGTCGTCCCCTCCTTCTTCATCAACTCCACCACCGTGCATCCCCGAAACTCATCTGCAAAAAGGGACATGGGATGAACTGAATGCTCTTCCTCGCCATTAGGATTTTTTTCTTTTCTTCTTCCAGTAAAAATTATTCCTATTTGCTTTTTCTTCTTCTTGACTGCATAGCTTCTACTCTCTTTATTTAAGCATGGAAAAAATAAATAATAATCTGGATAAAAGGAGAAATGAAGTCATCCTCTGTTCTGTCATCCATCTATATTTCATCAAACAGATGAAATATTTAACACACAGAGAGAGACAGAGAGAGAGAGAGAGAGGGAGAGAGACTATTTCAGATCAGACCTGATACGATGGGCTGTGACCAGTTATAAGGTAATGAAACTGAAAGCAGGATTTTATTTAAATATTGTATTTTAATATTAATCAGGTTCATCCTCTTTCATACAGGCAGGATTAAGATGATCAGTCTTTGGCAGTGACCATCATCGTCTCCTCCTCACTCATCTTCCTCCTCCAAAGAGGCTTTACAAAAAAAGCAGCAGCGCCCTTTTCAACTTTTCGAAAACGGCACAGCTGACTCACACTCGGAAATAGAAAACCCTCAAATCTCTGATAAAAAAACCGAGATGAACAAGTTTCCTGCAGCGGCGCTGGTGGGGGGGGGTTTACAGTTAGCTTTACGCTGAAGGAAGCAGCACAAAGTTTCCCTCAAAGGAACAGAGCTTTGTTAAAGCTGCGCTATTTCAGAGTTTAACATCAGGAGTATCTGGGCTAGGAAATCCAGACTGTATATGATGATTTAGCCTCTACGATGTCACCCACTCGTTTCTACAATCCGTGTTTTCAAGCTTCAGTATTAGAGCTCTGGTGTTTTTGGAGTAAGAAATGACCATATTTGAAGAAGAGGGTGCTAAGCTTATCAGCTAATATTGGTTAGTTTCATTTTTAAGGGCGGTTACCAATGCTGCACTGATACATTTGACCAATCACAGTACACTTATGTCCCTCAAAGTCTTTCTAATCTAGCAAAGGCACCCACTTATACTAAGAGCTGAGGAAAGACCTAAAACTGAAGTTCTGACGTCTACGATATCATCCCTAGGCTGTCTCTGACGTCAGTCTGACAGCTCTCCAAATCAGTGATGCAATTTTTATTCTCACAGAATTTTTGATTGTAGCACAAAGACATCACAAGTAGGACACCAACTCCAGGTGGGAGGAGATAAACTGCGACTGCAAGCATCTTCCTCTTCAGGTCACAAAATGGGAAACATCAGCTGTTTCTGAGCGTGCTCTATTTTCAGCTGTGTTAATGAGCTCAGCTGGTGGATTCAGACACTTTGATTATAAAAATGTTTGTTACCTGGTATACTCTGCCTCCTGATGGCCAGCGCTCCATCTGGAGGTCGCGACCCGGCGGAGTGTTTCGTGTACGGCCCTTCATCTGGAACACAAGGAGACATGCAAGAATATTACAGACTGGATCCAGACTTTAACTGGTTCCAGTAGCTAGAAGTAACGCCTCATAAGGCAGGTTCTTTTCAATAGTTTGGACACAGTGGCTCTGATGGCATATAAACCCCCATCATCACCTTGCACTCAGTCCAAATCTCCATTTCCTCTTGTAGAAGGTACCAGACCTTAACCATTTACTCTAACTTGTTTCTAACCAGATCTAGCTGGATCAATCGGGTCCTTTGACTAGTTTTAAAGCCTTTCCTAAAAACTTGTTAAATAGTTGGGATTTTTTGACAGAATGGTTACAGACCTTCCTCAGTATTGGTATCTGACCTCTACCATCTCATCAACATGGTCTGTTTGATTGGTTTGGAGACTCCACTAGTGTCTGTAATTGGGTATAAACATAAACCAATTTCTTCAACTGGTCTCCAAGCTCAGATTTTTCCTCTAAGCGACCCTTACCAATTCAAACCTACTAACCAGCCTGGTTTTTCTGACTTGTTTTTGAACCCGTAGAAACACCTCTAGCTGGACATATACCTCACAAAAAATCATGACGCGTTTCCAAAGTTTTGGTCCTTCAAAGTGATTCTAAACTATATCCAGTTTATCAACAGTGTACCTGGCGGTACATCTAACTGGATATATTCCACAACTGTCCCACAAACTGGTTCTGAGGTTCTACCAGTTCTCATCACTGTTTTTAAATGCTTTCACTGCCCCTACATTCAAAAAGCAACTAGTTCCTTTAATTGAAATGGAGACGGTTCAGTTCCTGGTCCTAAAGTGTTTAAGAGGCTTTACTACGTCCTTTACATGGATCCAGACTAAAATGGCAAACTGGTTTTCCTTGACTGCTTCCTTTAGCAAGCTCCAGTTCAATCAACTGGTTTTGGAGACAACAGGAGATTTCAAAAGTTAATCCAACAATTTAATTTAAACTATACAAATATACAACCAGTGGCCGTTTCCAATATATAAAAATTCATTGGTTCCTTCAGCAGGTTCAAATGCTCCACCAATTCATCCAACTGGTTTCAAAAGTCAAACTGTTCATCCTTTAACTATTTTTCATTATCCATTATGTTTAGAAGCTTTACCAAGCTTCCTTTAACTAGTTGTGAAGCTCTAAAATTAAACCTGCTGAGTTCTGACACAGATTACCTCAGACAGTATCCCCACACCAGGCTCCCATAATGCATCTGTACTCACCATCATCATCAGACAGTGCAGAGCTTCCACCACAGAAAAACATATCAGGGATGAGCTAAACAGCGAACACGTTAGTATGCTCGCCTTCAGGTTCTTTTACTCATCATCATCGTCCAGCAAAGCTCTGAAGGAGATTTCTCCTGACCACTGGTGTGTCTTGCTCTCAGCCTGAACAGCTGCTGAGCAGTCTGTCAACTCATGAATAAAGAAGCCACAGCCAGAGAGCGGTTACCTCATCAGCACAGCGACCAATCCCTGTGGAGAGCAGAGGTGGTCCAGCTAAGTCTGCACCAATCTCAGCAGCCCACCGGGAGATCCCGCCGGTGATGTCATCACGCTAAAAGCATGATGTCATGTAGATATATCTGGATGGAGTGGTTTGACTGTTTATTCCCAGTTTACAACAGGTGAGACTCTCCTATCATCTACTGCACCTGACACCAAGTACAGGCTTGAACAGCATTTGATCAAACCCTCTTATTAAATCTGACGCTCCACCCGAAAGAGGGGAAAACTCGGGAAGATACTCATATTGCCTGTGAAGTGAATACTTCTATTATTAATTAAATGCTAATCTTCAGTTTTGTCTCCTTTTTATTCCTCTTTAGTGTGGTGTTGTTCTATTTTAGTTCTGCGTTTGGCTCTATTTTATGTCATTCTAATTTATTCTAATCTGCTTCTGTTTGGTTCCAGCAGCTGAGCTCAGAAACACAGCGAGGCCATTACGTTACATTCACCTCCTGAATATAACCTACCGTGAACCCCAAACCTCATACCAAGTCTCTAT